CAACAGAAGGCCTCACTGGTTCCAGCGGTCTACACATTGCGCAAGCTTGCCGCATGGATTCAATGAATAAAGGCACTCGAAAATCAAAGAAGACTCAACCCTCATCTGATCTCCAGACGTTACGAGAATTATCAGTCATTCACTCACCGGAAGCTACACCACCTGCGCATCTACATTTTCACATTGATACAGCCACCATGCTTGATGAGGGTGATCAGAAGGAATTTGTGAGAAAAATGGACTGGCCCTTCAAGCTCATCGTATTTGGCGAGGAGAATACTTTGGTCTCTCGTGGTTTTTTCAGCAATTCACATTATTGGGGAAATGTGTTACGACATGCGAATGGGTTGTTAGGGGTGTGGAGTCACAATGATCAACTGAATGCAGGACGTGCTCATATGGTCAATGCGATTCCCGGGAGCATCAGTGGCGCTCAGGAGCACACAAGCTGGCTCTTTTACTCACGTTGTTGGACCCCGGAGGAGGCCGCCTTTGTTGGCAAAAGTACCGCACAACTCTTAAAGGACAACCCACGATTATCCACTCAAATTCCATTCACACGGATGGACACACTTTTGAAAGTTTCTCACAATGGTGAGGTGCCTGTACCATCCATATCAATCACACAAGAGGTTAAAGATGGCAATATTCAAGGTAAGCTTTTGAAGGGCTCAAATTTCCAACTGATTCCATTTAACTGACCATTGAACTCCGTGGAATGTTTGGTGAATTCTATATGGAAGATTCCGGTGGCAGTTTTCAAGAACAGCCACTGAAAATTCGGACTCGACGGCCAGCAAACTCGGCCAAACTAATTGCTCCTACTACTCTGGCTCAGGCGCCTGAGATTACACCTGATACATCATTGGCTGCTGGCTTGGGTGAGACTTTAGATACATCCAATTCAGACTGGGCTTCAGCAAAGCGTAGTTGTCTCAGTAAGACTGGAACATCATTGGCCACCCCTGGTGCAGTATTAGATAATCCCCCATCAAAGCGCATCCGTCCCAACAAAGTTCTGCCGATATCCGCACCTGAACAGGCCCCAAAGGTTGGTAATGTCCCAGCAAAGTGTGGTCGTCCCAAGAAGGCCCGAAAGGTCAAAACCTCAATCACTTTCAAGCCAGAACCTTTGGAGGATGCCGATTGGGAGCGTATCCAGGCCCGAGCTGCAGCCTACTGGCGAGATAAGTGGGAGGCAAACCCAATGATGAAAGACTCCAATTCAGCTCGAGGTTTCAAGAAATCTATCGACTAATCTCCTCTTCCCATTCTTCAAACTGGGGATTTGGTTGAGCCGTTCAGTGGTAAGAAGCAAGAAGCAGGCCGGTCAAGGGTCTGATTCCTGCCTGATGTTTTGTTTTTGGTCTTTTATTCATTTTATCTTTTTCTGGGTCTTTTTCTTCTGACAATGATACACGGGTCTTTTGTCTTCTTAATATGATACACAGGTCTATTTCTTTTGCTTTTTCTCAGCATTTTCCATTTCTTTGTCTTTCCTTTGTCCTTTTCTTCTTACTGTGATACACAGGTCCTTTTTTTTCTTCTTACTATGATACACGAGTTGATTTCTTTTGTATTTCCTTGGTCGGTCTTTTTCTGCTTACTATGATACACGGTCACATTTCTTTGTCTTTCCTTGGTCTTTTTCTTCTTACTATACACAGGTCCATTTTTTTCTCTTCTTACTATGATACACGGGTAATTTTTTTTGTCTTTTCTCGGTTTTTTTCAAATATATGGGTAAGATGTAAAATTGCATCTCAAGGCTAAATTTGGTAATTTTACAACATGTTTTTTTACATTGGTAGTGTGTTGTGAAGCCAACAGTTGTAATTTAAATTTTATTGTCTAAATTTGTGAAATTTACATGGTGGTGACTTTACAACCACACCAAATTGTAAAACACAGCCTGTAATTTCATTCATTGCACCTACAGGTGCACACTTATACATGGCACACTTTGCACACCATCATTAACATGGTACCTCATTTTGTCGGACAAATGTAAATTTGATTAACTCATTTGACATGTTCAATTTCACATAATTTGTGTTTTACATGGTAGGTGCATTGTAAAAAACAAATTGTGAAAATCAACATCCCCCTATGTTAAGCTCGGCCTTTTTATTATGTGGAGGCTCTCACAGTGGATAAATATGTAATCCTAGCGAATGTCTCCGGACACGGTTGAGCCTATCACCAAACACCCGATGTTCGTCTGTTCTTTGTACTGGGTCGCGCATACATCGATATAATTGTCAAGGGGCCAAACTCATCAGATTCAAAGGAAACAGGAGAAATGTTGAAGACAGTCAGAAACTGTTGGTTCTGTCCTGAATCCCGAATGGGACTGCATAGAGCAGGAGGGTTTGTAACTCTGGCCGATTCTTCTCATGCACCAACACCTTTCATCATGTGCTGCGAAGGAGATGAACTATATGTATGTATGCGGGTACATATAGTCTGCCTTGGATCCCACTTTCTCTCTCTTCGAATTTCGGACCCATCAACGAGCCTCCATCGCCCCGGACAAAAAACAGTGGGTCTCCGACTATATCCGCATCAAAACACCAGTCTGTCTATGAAGTGGTACATAGAGGGACACTCACTCGATCCTTATTTAGACTAACAGACATCCAGCTGATCCCCACCAGGCCAGACCGATCACCGTCTTCTCTCTGCAAGTCTACATAAAGAATTAAATATACCCGCATCTCCTCTCCTTCCTAGAATGCGGCCCTCCTCGGTTCTCTCTTCTTCCAGCATAATTGTATCATGTGCGTATCAATTCTCCACTTAACGCGTGGATTTGGTGATCATCAAACTTAAACCTGCAGAGTGAAGTGAGATTGACGGATATGTATTGTAACTTTTCCCCAAGTGCTTTGCTCGTTGTTGGGACCTATTAGTTTAACTTGGGCCCGTTCAGACATATCGGCTCCTATGGAACGCGTCCATGATCATTCTGCAACTCCACTCAAAATCGTCGTTGGTGGTCAGTCCGATTCTGATACCCATTCCCGACGCTCCGCCAAGTGGCTTCTTCTTCAAAAAAACCCCTGAGCTGACTTGAGACATTTCCCCGGGTGAATTTTTTATTTACAAAAAAAAAAAAAAATGACACAGGTTATTCGGGGAAGATAGTGACAATAGAATACGATCAGAACAGGAAAGTTTTTCAGGGACTGAAGACGGAGACGAGAGAGTCGACGAGCGGGAAGAGCCCGTCGTTTGTGGGCTTCAGTCCGGACGGAAGATGTCTGTATGCGACCAACGAAGTCTCGGATTTCCGGGGCCTGAACGCCACCGGAAGCATCTCCTCCTTCGCCATCACCGCCGATCAGTCGCTCCGCCACATCGCCACCGCGCTCACCGCCGCCGATCCGGTCGCCTTGGCCGTCTCTCCTGACGGCAAACACTTGGTCGTCGCCGAATAGTTGGGCCGGCTTCCTATACATACATCTCTTCAATTTTATCCCCCCCCCTCGAAATTTATCTACTTTCTTCATCCTGCTCATCGTCCCTCCTCCATCTTCTCATCCTAACAGTACCGGTGGTTCTTGGTCCAAATTCACCCTCAATGACCAGTGTGGCTTCCAATCAGAGAATGCTGATCAGCGCGTCAAATACCATGGATCGGGCCCTAACACCAGCCGACAAGACCATTGTAAATCTTCTCAAGCTCGTGCTTCTTTCCTCAAGATTGACTGAACAACACTAACACACACACACATATATGTATGGCTCCGTCCCTGAATCAAACACGACAGCGTATATCCATCAAGTCGTTTACAATGTACATACATAATCACTCTTGGGGGTTTTTCTTCATTTTTTTTTTCTATGGGGACCATCATGGCATGTCAAAATATCCACTAAAAGTGACATTTCTTTTTTTTTTCCCTTTTGTGGCCAAAAAAAAAATAATAATACAGCATGCGGGAGACTTGTTATTTGCAGTCGACCTCGGCGGCGACTCGGTCTATGTGCATCGAGTGGACCGGAGGACCGGAGACATAGAAGAGAAGGTTGTCCACGAGATCAAGCTTCCTCCAGGTATTTACATATGTTGTTATTGTTTTTTTTTTTTGGACTCGAGACTGTCTTCTTCTGAAGTGAGACAAGAAAGAAGAGAGGATGTTTCTGTTGAATAAGAGGACTGAATTCTCGAAATCTGATTCTGATGTGAGAGTGAATAGGAAGTGGACCTCGGCATCTATCGATGACTGGAAACCGAGCCGAAGAGTATGACATCTATTTGATCAGCGAGCTGAGCAACCAGCTGTTCACGATCCGCCTAAGCGACCATCCACACCACGGAATCAAGACGACGATCCGGCAAGAGACGAGTACCTTACCAGCCGGGACGGCGGAGGGGATGAGGCGGACCTATGGGGCAGGAGAAGTGATGATGAGCGGGGATGGCCGATATGTGTACGGCTCGAACCGCCAGACGGATCTCAGCAAGCCGCTCTCGGACAACTCGATCGTCGTCTTCAAGCGCGACCCGCACTCCGGAAGAACCTCCAAGCCCGCTTGGTTCCCCCTCCCCGGCCCCGCAAATACCCCCCGGCACTTCAGCTTCTCGAACGACCCCCTCCAGAAGTTCTTCATCGTCGGCGCCCAACAGGCTAACTCCTTGTCCATCTTTCTCAGAAACCCTGCCACTGGAGCATTGCGATTCCTCGCTAACACCCCCCTTCAGACTCCGGCCGTTCAACTCTTCTTCCCTCATACTCAAGCTTCTTACAATTAACCAACTTAAGTTATTTCTTCTTTTTCGCTCGTTAACTATACTTTTTGTTGTACATCATCTACGAGGGTTGTCAGCTAGTCTATATAACACACTCAGATGTGATTCAATTTATCTTTCCAAGATGATGATGATCATCATCATCCAGGAAACCCATGTACATATTTATCTATGACAATGACGACGACGACGACGATGATGATCAAAAAAGTACCTCTGTTGTGTTGATCGAAAACGTAGACAGATACCAAAAAAAAAAAAAAAAAGCAGAATTAACAATATAAATCAATGCTGGTTTCAATCGATGTCTTTTTTTTTGGTTTTGTGAGTTCACAGCCAACTGGAGATGAAATTCCAGCAATCACTAGGAAAGACTTGAGACCATTATAGAGAGCGAGCGAGAGAGAGCACAGCAACAGGATGAGGGAACCTATCCACGCTGAAGGCGTTGGATTAAAAGAAGCTCGCACAGCAACAATCCCCCTTCATTCTCCAGACATCGGGCTGATCGCTCGCCCTAGAATCAAGCTATTTTTCTACTGGTCATGTGGAGCTGGTTTTTGGTCTGGCCCATATATGGCCATGGCTGGCACACTCCTTCACATAGGACATCTTTCTGCAGAAGATTTGTCCGGCGCCTGGGTCAGGTACTCTTCTCCACCCTCCATGGCCCCCCAAAAAACGTCCTCTGTCTCTCTCACTTAATCAGAAATCTACACGCTCGGATCCTGATCTCACTGTCGAGATTGATTTGCAGATTGATGAGAGAGATGGTCATTCCAGACTATAGTTATCTATGTATCACTTGGTCCTCTGTAAATAGTTGGACAAACTGCCGGAGAATTTGCACTTTGTGTTCATCAACTTTGTCCTGGATCATATTACACACAAGCTTGCAGTGGAGTCTGGTGGCCAAACTGTGATCTCCATCCAACTCGATATGATCATTATACCATCCTCAATCCTCGGTGAAGCTTTGGTAATCATCGCTCAATTCGGTGGGATACATAGCTTTCTATATCCTCATCTCCGACACAATCACAACCTTTATCCAGAAACACAAAAATACATGTACTCTGGGATTTATTTTTCTTGAAAACCCTTTGTTTTTCGTCCAGTTTTGGGACGATAATTGGCAGCCCCACAGAAGAGGAGAAGGCCAGATGCAAAGAGGCCAATGGCAATGCTCAGAGCACAGCTAATCGTCCTTTGTTTTGTACTGAATGAAGACTGCGTGGGAACAGTCGCAAGGCCTTCACTGGGTGTTCTTAGTAGGGTCAACCCTCCTTCCTCGCTCTCTTTTGAAGCAATCAATCAAGGAAAGTCGAATCTTGCTTTTCAAAAAGAACAAACCTCCTGCATTCTTTTTTTTTCAACCCTCCAGACTCTGTGTTTGTTTGTTATAAAAGAAGGGATGAATTATGATCGAAAGAGGATGAGTGGGATGGGTTTATGTGTTATGGACAAGGGCTTGGTTGGGTCCGTAGAGCTGAGAATCCATGGAGTGAGTCGATTGAGATGATCTGATTGAGGAGCGATTGAGTTGAGGAGCTGACATGAAGAAAATTAAAATTAAAATTAAATTAGTTTCTAAAGAAGACGGAGAGAGAAGAGGAGTAAGGAAGGATTACCTGTTTTGGTGGAGGGGGGAAGTAGAATAGGCACGACGTTCGACCTTGTTGAGTTTGCGAGCAGTCTTAGCGTTTGTATGAGTACGTTGACCGTTGACAGGGAAGCCGAGAGCATGGCGTTTTCCTTTATAGGAACCGATGGCGCGATGATGGGCGATATTAGCCCTGACTTCCCGGCGGAGGTCGGATTCGATGAGGAGGCGTTGGAGCGGATCGTCGGCGAGGGACAAGAGTTTAGGCTGAGGAGAGGGGCCGGAATCGAAGTCGAGGGTCGATGGGGCGGGAATCCCGTCGAGCTCGGCCACTTTATGGTTCGTTGGTGGGGTCGTCGGCGGGGAGGATAGTAGCGCGGACAGACGGCCGATCTGGTGTTCGCTCAGCTCGCCGACCGTCAATGCTTTGTGGATCTGCAGCCGGGCACAGATCAGATTCGCCGTGTAATGCCCAATCCCTACAAACCTCGTCAACCCAATCTGGATTCAAATTTCTATCAGTCGGAGTACCAAGAAAGAAGCCTGTGGGAAGAAGAAGGAGAGTGCTTACCCTGACAAGCTTGTGCTCGGGTAGGTTGACGCCAAGAATAAACATGTTGGGATCCTTAAGAAGTCCGTCGTTGTTGCAGTCATCGATCGTTTGATCTGCCAAAGTAAAGCTGACTTGGGGGGTCAGCTGTCCCTCAAGGTTCACAAGGCGTGTTACAGCCTGTGACATGAAAAGCATCCAGATCCCCGACCCCGGGCTGTAACGGGTTTTTCTTTCACTGCCAAGTTCGACCAAGCTCAGGAAACTCTTCAAACATCAACCTCCAAGCCTTCAAAATCGAGCAGTCGGATACAAGAAAAACATCTATCAGCCAACGAAGACAAGATTAGCATACGCTCCAGTGATCCCCCACGAACTAGAAGCCCCCGGAAATGGCACCGAGCTCGAAACTACGCGCATGTATGGTCTGTTCATTCGTCCAATCTGCCGCCCAGTTTAGGAAGATTGGCTGTCCGAATTGCGAGGAATTCTTAGAAGTAAACAAAACAAACCCCTCTCCTTTCTACAATTTCTCGCTCGTTTTCTTTTTAAAAAAATATCTTTTGGTCCATATGTTGGTGATCTAATCATACACTCAATGTGCGTGTCTTCTAGATGAAAGGTAGTGTCGAGAGAGTAGTCGAATGTACCTCTGGAACTTTCGATGGCACGGTCGCTATGATGAACCCCAAAGAATCTTGGGTAGTAAGCCTCTTCTTATGCCGCTTCTGATTCCTCTTGATTCCTCTGAACAATGACTCTCTTTAAGTTTATTTTAATCAATCTGACTCTGTTTTCATATGCTATCATTTGTTGTCTCTCTTTAGGCAAAATGGCAACGGATCAGTAGCCATTGTCCAGGACTCTACGCGATCCGGATTACCGGGAGTTTGCCTGAACACGTACTGGTCGATCTGGAGCACAAGGGTCTTGGCACAATTGCTCGCCAACGCGATGATGACTAATTCCTCTTCCATGTATCACAAACTCAACCACGATGTATTATATATATTCCTTGAAAGAATTATTGGCTTGTTGAATTGCCAATGATTTTCTTTCTTTTTCAGGTGGAAAATTCCTTGATCTCATGAAATTCAGACTTGGTTGCTCTGTTTGGAAGCTTTATGGCAAAAGTGCTTGATTTCGGAAGAGACAAACAGAAGGAGAGGGCGAGAGGAGACTCAATACGGACCCAACCCACTTATCAACTCGAGGAACGGAGAAAATCGGTAGGGTTTAAATAGAGGAAAATGCACGCAGTTGAGACAGCCTTGATAGCTTAACGGTTAACACGTCAGTTTACTTTCTATATTCCCTGGCCTTAATATACAACTCATAACGCTGAGCTGACCGGAGATCGAATCCGATTATCACTCGTTAGATCCTCTGCCTTGCCCATACAGAAGCGCAGTTTTCAAGTGCATCATCGACGGCATCGTTCGCGAGGACACAAGACTGATCGACGTTGAAACCGAGGTGCAACCGACCCTGAGACGTTCAGACTAGACCAATCAATCATGTTTCAGATTCCTGCGCGCTTGATTCTCATGTGTGCTGTTGCATTGCAGTCCTTAGTATGGGCGCCCACGGTCCCCACTCGTGGTCACTCGCTCACTCAGACCACCTCGATTGAACCCCCCAGACCTGAACAGATCGAGCAGATGAATTTCGAGTCAGCAGTCAAAGCTGGAAGAGCTTGTGAATGTCACACTCCTGGGCTGTATCAGACCTTGTCCAGAGTGTCAAGACGCAAGACTTTCACCACAGGTTATAATGTCTGTTTAGGTTGATGATCATACCATAGGTAGTTAGGGCAACTGCAACCGAAAATGAAAATTAAAAGGACAGGATTGTCTTGTTGATAGGAAAAAAAAATAAAAAAAAAA